CATAGTGTGTAATGAAAGGGACAGGCCAGAAAGCCAAGGAAGCACGAGGTAGCATTTGTGATGAACCTGTCCAAAGTGGGTGTGAGATGTCTCTCTGGGATGTTGGGGGCTGTTCCTGGTGTAACACACAGAAATGCCAGGGCTCTGTGAGGTGTCCACACCTGAGCCGGCCTTGTGCATTCCTCGCCCACACAGGAGTGTTCAGAGGCAGGAGTCCTTCCCTTGCGCATGCAGAAGCAGTGCATTAGCAGCAAACACAGTGTCTCCCTTTCGTCCTCGTGCCACTGCCAGAGGCTGGTGGACACTTCAGCCCTGCGGTGTATTGCTCTGCTCTGCACTCATCTGACAAGCCCCAAGGAATGGACACAGGGACCTTACTTCAAGGAAGCACATCCCAGTGCTGCATTCAGGTGTTTTCCCAGGGGACATGGCTCTCAATTTGAAGAAACCTCAAGATACTGTCCCACAGGCCTTCATAGAATCCTGTGTTTGATTTGTACAGCAAGGTTTAGGCAGCAGGGGAGCTACAGGGGTGGCTTCTTTGGGAAGATGGAGAAGCTTCCCCCGTGCCTGATAAAAGACGGTGGCAGCTGGCTCCAAGATGGACCCACTGCTGGCCAAAGCTGAGTCAATCAGCGATGATGGCAGCACCTCTGTGATAACATATTTAAGAAGGGGTAAAAAACTGCTGAGCAGCAGCATCTGGGAGAAAGGAGTGAGAATATGTGGGAGAAACAGCCCCGCAGACACCACGGTCAGTTAAGAAAGAGGGGAGGAGGTGCTCCATGTGCTGGAGCAGAGATTCCCCTGCAGCCTGTGGTGAAGACCAGGATGAGTCACGCTGTCCCCCTGCCACCCATGGAGGCCCATGGCAGATGAAATATCAACCTGCAGACCATGAAGGATCCCACGCTGAAGCAGGTGGATGTGCCTGAAGAAGGCTGTAACTCTGTGGAGAACCCATGCTGGAGCAGGTTTTCTGGCAGGACCTGTGAACCCATGGGGGACCCATTCTGGAGCAGCCTTTTCTGGGAAGACTGCTCCACTTGGAAGGAACCCCCACTGGAGCAGTTTGTGAAGAACTGCAGCCCGTGGGAACGACCCACATTGGAGAAGTTTGTGGAGGACTGTCTCCCACGGGTGGGACCCTACCCTGGAGCAGGGGAAGAGTATGTGGAGGAAGGAGTGGGAGAGACAATCTGTGATGAACTGACCACGGCCCCCATTCCCCATCCCTCTGTGCCGCTCAAGGGGAGGAGGTAGAGAATTTGTGAAAGAAGGTGAGCTGGAGAAGAATGGAGGGGTGTGTGGAAGGTGCTTTAAGATTTGTTTTTATTTCTTACTACCCTACTCTGATTTAGTTGGTAATAAATGTATGTTGGGTCTGTTTTACTCATTACAGTAATTGCTGAGTGATCTCCTTGTCTTTATCTCAATTAGCAAGCCTTTCCTCATATTTTTCCTCTCCCTGCCCAGTTGAGGAGCAGGAGCGATAGAGTGGTTTGGTGGGCACCTGACGTCCAGCCAAGGTCAGCTGAGCACACACCCCTAGGAATAACTGATAACATTTGTGCTCACTCGGGTTCATCTCACCACACACACACCATGTGCATGCTTGCATCTCATTGGTACAATGCAGACAGAGGCTTCTGACCTCATCATTTGGTGTCCCTCCACAAGGGTTAAAGAACCTCTCCAAGCTGCGGTAAGAGGCCAGTGCTGAAAATGGTGGTTGTTATTGCTGGGTTGGGGACGTGTGCTCTGGGGCAGCTTCCCCCGGGTGCCCAGTGAACACGGGCACAGACCAGACCTGCTCTGCTCGTCCTTCACCTCCCTTCCAGGAAGCCTGGCTGTGAAAATACAGTGCCCTGTGCCCCCACCATGCACACTCACTCACTTTAGCTGTCCACTGGTGTTTGCTCTCCCATGCATGTTCCTGGGCATGGTCTTAAGACCAACACTAGAAACAGACCTAAGCCATCAGGCACTGCCCTTAGAAGATTCCCTTTCATGATGCTGTGATGGACATCAGCTCTGTCACAGAAGTGTGCATTGCTTGTCCCTGCCTGCTGGCACAGACTGCCACACACCAGGACTATATCGAGCTGCCAGTGCTCTCAGGCCCGTACAGCAACACAAGGGCTCAGAAGGAGAGCGTGGAGGTGGAAATTGATTGGCTCAGAAAGACCAAGCACTGGTGCTACCTGGCAGTGCTGCTCCGCATGAACTTTTTTCCCCTCCACCTCTGCATACAGGCACTGCTCCTGTGGCTCCAAGAAGGTCTCAGATAAAGAATCTCAGACAAACAGCTCAGTGCAGGGTCGCTTATTTTGTTTTAAAACAGAGGGAGCATGGCTCATCATGATGCAGTCTCTGGGTCACACAAGACAGGTAGATACGGAATTAGAAATGGTATGAATAATGACAGTTCTTTGTGGACAACATTATTACAACTAAGAAAAGCTAAAGCCAAAAGAACCCATCAAAGACATGATGGTCCTATAGTGCTTTACATTTTGAGTGATATGGAGAAGACAATGGGAAGCTTGTTGCTGCTTAAAAACATCCCATCATCTGCTTCCACACTGCATCCTTGAGCTCCCTGTTCCTCATGCTGTAGATGAGGGGGTTCACTGCTGGAGGCACAACTGAGTACAGCACTGCCATAACCAGATCGAGAACTGCGGAGGAGATGGAGGGGGGCTTCAGATAGGTAAATATGGTAGTGCTGATGAACAGAGAGACCACAGCCAGGTGAGGGAGGCACGTGGAAAAGGCTTTGTGCCGTCTCTGCTGAGAGGGGACCATAAACACGGATGTGAATATCTGCACATAGGACAGCACAATGAAAATAAAACACCCGACGCCTAAACAGGCACTGACCACAATAAGCCCAAACTCCCTAAGGTAGGCATCTGAGCAGGAGAGCTTGAGGATCTGGGGGATTTCACAGAAGAACTGGTCCAGAGCGTTGTCATGGCAGAGTGGTAGTGAAAATGTATTGGCCGTGTGCACAAGAGAATTGAGGAACCCACAGGCCCAGGCAGCTGCGGCCATGTGGACACAAGCTCTGCTGCCCAGGAGGGTCCCGTAGTGCAGGGGTTTGCAGATGGCAACATAGCGGTCATAGGCCATGATGGTGAGAAGAGAAAACTCTGCTGAAATGAGGAAGAGAAACAGAAAGACCTGAACAGCACATCCCAAGAAAGAGAGGGCCCTGGTATCCCACAGGGAACTGGCCATAGCTTTGGGGACAATGGTGGAGATGGATCCCAGGTCAAGGAGGGAGAGGTTGAGGAGGAAGAAGTACATGGGGGTGTGAAGGCAGTGGTCGCAGGCTATAGCACTGGTGACAAGGCTGTTTCCCAGGAGGGCAGCCAGGTAGATGCCCAGGAAGAGCCAGAAGTGCAAGAGCTGCAGCTCCCGCTTGTCTGCAAATGCCAGGAGGAGGAACTGCGTGATGAAGCTGGTGTTGGACATGTTCCCTTTGTGCACCAGGACCTTTCCAAGAAGGAAAAACACAATGATAAGTTAGGGGAGATTTCTTAGACAAAAACCCCATGCCATTTCTCATGGCCACCCCCCTCCCTCAGCAGAACGGGGAATGTTTCAGCTGATTTCACAACCCTACCAAATCAATGACATGGTGCCTCAGAGCTTGGGCACTTTGTTCCAATGAAGACACCTCCAAGGCAGGACCCTCAACGTTGCTGTCAGAACAGAAGCTGACCTGCACCCTCTGTCAACCCCAGAGAGCAAGAGCAACATGGAAAAGTGGGGAAATAGGGAAAAAAACCTGCAGTGCTCAAAAAAAAAAAAAAAAAAATGCAGCAAGAAGAAAAAGGCAGGTGGGTGTTCATGAAGCCTTCTCCTTACCCTGCTTTGCTCTCCACCTCGCAGACAGTGACACTGTAGGACAGTCACTTTTGTCTGGTTTGTGATGTGTTAATCGTAGGACACAGGCACTTCTCCTAGACTGGAGGTGCAGCTGCCAAGGGTGTCTCATGCCCTGCATCCCATGGCTTTAGGGAATAGGCTCTGCTGGATAGGAGAGGACACACGGTGTCCACTCCAGAGAAGGTGCCTGCACTAGACGGGATGGCAGGGAGGTTCCCAAATCCACCCTGCCAATGTGTTTCTGGTAGCAGCTCCTGCTCACTCCCTGCCCAATTCTCCGTCTCTGTTGCCAGGAGCTATCCCTAACAGAATCTGTTTCTCTGTACCCATGACTCTTCCATGCTCACAGACCCCATCCCACTCACCGTGTGCTCAGCTCTGCCCTGCAGACCCCTCCTGGCAGCAGCTAGAGAGAAGCTCAGACACGTGCTAATGAGAACTGGGGTCTCCGTGTGTTTTCCACAAGGGCAAAAGAAATTCCCATCTCCCACTGCCCACCCAGTCAATTATGAAGAGAAAACTGAAAACACAGAATACTTGCCTCAATGTGGTTTTTGTTTTGTTTTGTTTTGTTTTTTTTACAAAAGGACCTTCAAATGTCTTTGGGATGATCTGGAGCTCTGAAGAAACTGGATCCAAACAGCACCCTGTTGACAGCAGGGAGATCTAGACCCGCCTTGTCAATGGTTGCTTCTTCACCCCACAGCTTCTCCCTGCAGAACCATGGGCACTTTGAGTGTGGACTCTGGCAGGAGGCAGAGTCCTTTACCCCAGCACACAGCCCCCTGGGGTGCAGGGACCTTGCTGGGAAGGACAGCCCTGGGCACCCCTGCCTGCACACCCACCTTCACACCCTGCAGCCCTCCCTGGTAAAAGGCAGCTGTCATGCCCTGTCCCTCTGATGGGGCAGCATGGAGTGCCTGCTCTGCAGCACATTCTGATCCTCTACATTAGATGAGCTCTGAGAGGTGTACTTACATATCATGTAGGCTGTGTGATGTGCCATCTTTAGGAGATCCCAGAAGGATCAGCAGATGCAATGACCTGCAGCCACAGACTTACTCTTTGTCAAGACTTTTCTCCCCACAAGCTCTCAGCTTTGCCACCCAGCAGAATGCTTGTAAACCCTCCCTGCCTCACTCCCCACCCCTCGGTGCCTGCAGGCAGTGCCCTCAGCCCTGCTGCACTTTGCAGAGGAGCTGCTCCTGGGCAGAGCTGTCTCTCTGCAGTGCTGCCCACTTGCCAGGAGCTCACTTTGTCCCAGGAGCCCAGCCCAGCTCAGCAGCAGAGGACCAGCCCAAGGCAGCATTTGCACTTCCCCCTCTGGTCTCCCTCCGGCTGTCCCTGGGGCTCCAGGAGAACCTGCTGTGAAACAGGCTAAGGTCATCCCTGATGTTCCCTCATGCAGTTGAGGAGAGGCACTTATTACGAATGCTGTTATTTCTCCTGTAAGGAAAAGACTTGGGCATGAGAACCACTTTCTCTTCATGCAAATGCAACATATCATTTGTGGGTTTGTAGTCCTGGGGCTAGAAGGGGATTTATCCCCCTCCTATGCAAAAAATAGGCACCTGCCTGTGCGATCCTGGTCTCAGCTCCCATGGCAATGAATGGAGATGGAGGGCAGGACTGGGCTGTTCACACACAACACCTGGTGACATTTCAGGTGTCAGGGGTGGTTGAAGATAGGTGCAGGCAACTGCAAGCTCTAGTGGAGCAGTTCAACATCAGGGGGAATCCTCTTAGAAGTTCCTGGGAGTTTTCTTTGGCCAACTGAAATGGCAGTTGACGCCCAAATTAGGGCAACTGAACCTGTCATGATGAACTCATGATGTTCAGGGCAGCCTTTAGAGTTAGTCATCTGAACAACTGGAGTCATGTGCCACAGGGAGAGCTCAGGCTCGCTCTTTCTCTTCACCATCAGCTGCATTTACTGGGTCTCTACTCACTGTATTGGCAGTTGTCTCATGTTCATCCCACATTGCCTTACAGAATTCAGAGTATCTATTGAATTTCATTTTTAAATGCAGACCCCAGGGCTGCATGAGATGCCAAGGCTTTCAGAGACAGCACAGGACCAGTGATGTGTGGCGTTCCTCAGGGGTCAGTACTGGGACCAGTGCTGTTTAACATCTTTATTGGTGACATGGAGAGTGGCATTGAGTGTAGCCTCAGCAAGTTGCCAATGACACCAAGCTGTGTGGTGCAGGCAACCCGTTGGAGAGAAGGGGTGCCATCCAGAGGGACCTTGACAGGCTTGGGAGGAGGCTTGTGAACCTCATGAATTTCAACAAGGGCAACTGCAAGGTCCTGCACATGGGTCAGGGTAAAAAGCCAACCATGTCCTAGGCTGCATCAAAAGCAGAGTGATCAGCAGGGTGAGGGAGGTGATTTTCTTCCTCTACTGTGCTCTTATGAAACCCCAGCTGGAGTACTGCATTCAGGCATGGGGGCCCTAACATAAGAAGGACATGGACCTGTTGGAGTGATTCCAGAGAAGGACCACAAAGATGATCAGAGAGCTGGAGCACCTCTCCCAGGGAGACAGGCTGAGAAAGTTGGGCTTGTTCAGCCTGGGCAAGAGAAGGCTCCAGGGACACGTCATAGCAGCGTCCCAGTACCTGAAGGGAGCCTACAGGAAAGCTGGAGAGGGACTTGTTACAAAGGGATGTAGTGATAGGACAAGGGGTAATGGCTTTACACTGAAAGAGGGCCCACCCAGATTAGATTCAAGGAAGAAATTCTTCACTAGGAGGGTGGTGAGGCAGTGGCACAGGTTGCCCGGAGAAGTTGTGGATGCCCCATCCCTGGAAGTGTTGAAGGTCAAGTTGGATGGGGCTTTGAGCAGCCTGGTCTAGTGGAAGGTGTCCCTGCCCATGGCAGGGGGGGGGGAACTAGATGATCTTTAAGGTCCCTTCCAACCCAAAGTGTTCTGTGATTCTATGACCAAGAGGAAAGCAATGCCCATTCAGTGTGCATGTGTGACAGACACCCCAGACAGCACTGCAGGGAGTGTGGTTTGGTGCCTGTGTTCCACTGACTGTTGCCATCAGTCAGAGGCATCAGTCATCAGATGCCATCAGAAGGGCCGAGACTGTCCCTTCTCTACCCAACAGCCGCAGCTATTGCGTGAACATGAAGCACATGAGTCTGGGATCTTTACTCACACCCATGGTGATAGAGTCAAGGAACACTTGAATCCTTTTCACTGTGTGCCTGGTTACATCTTGTCTTCAAGGACAGCATCCATCAAGCACAGCAATGATCCTTATAAAAACTCAGTCGAAACTGAAAGGGAATGCAACGGGAACCAAGATGAGCTGGTGCTTTATCAGGAATAGTTCAAGAAGACAGAGAATGCACGTAAAACAGGGTAGGTTTAGACTGGATACAAGGAAGAAATTCTTTACAATGAGGGTTGTGAAACACTGGCATGGGCTGCCCAGGGAGGTAGTGGAGGCCCCGTCTCTGGAAACATTCAAGACCGGGTTGGACGGGGCTGTAAGCAACCTGATCTAGTTAGCGGTGTCCCTGCTCACTGCAGGGGGATTGGACTAGATGAGCTCTAGGGGTCCCTTTCAACCCAAAACATTCTATGATTCTATGATTCTATGATCTTTCAAAGATAGTATAGCATTTTGGCGGACTCACCTCAGTTGGGAGCTAAGCCCACACATCCTCTCACTCACAAACCTCTAACACCCAGTGAGATGGAGGAAGATAATAGAAATAGAAAAAGGTGACTACCTACTTAAAATCCCCCTCCTCTCTGTTTTCTTGCTGACAATGAGGTCATATGGCCTGCAATATCTCTTTTGTCACTGTGGGTCATGACCTCCCAACCTGTCGTGCACCCCCAACCTATTGACTAGGGCACAGAGTGAGAAGCAGAGAAGGCTTTGATGCAGTGCAATCACTGTTCTGCAATACCTACAACGTTAGTGTGTTATCAGCATTGTTTTGGTCACAAATCCAAAACACATCACCAGAAGAGCTGCTGTAAAAAGAATTAACAGCCAGCCATAGTACAAGAGAGGGCCTCAGTATGACCTCGGCTTCCTCTCTCAGCACTCTTGCACACAGACCCTCGGTCCCATGCGCTGTTCAGGGCTGAGTAACCCCTGACTCAATCCCCATCCACTGCTGGTTGTTCTCCTCCATAGTCCTGCCTCAAGACATGAAGTCCTGGGAGACCTTGTGCTAAAGACAGAGGCAAAGAGGGCATAGAGCACCTCACACCTATCTACATCTTCTCTTACTGGATGTGGCAGTGGCCACACACTCTTCTTCCTTATTCTTTATCTGTAACATCAGTATTGCCGTGGTTTAACCCTGGCCAACAACTAAGCACCACACAGCTGCTCACTAACTTCCCCCACCTCAGAGGGGGGAGATAATAAAAAACAAAAAGTAAACCCCTTGGCTCGGGATAAAGACAGCTTAATAAAACAGCAGAGGAAAGTAATAGCAATAATAGTAGTAGTAATAATAATGGAATACACAAAACAAGTGATGCACAATGCAGTTGCTCACCACCCACTGACTGATGCCCAGTCTGTCCCCAAGCAGCGATAGAAGTCCCCCAGCCAATTCTCCCCGAGCATGACGTCATATGGTGTGGAATAACTGTCCTGGCTGTGCCCCCTCCTAGCCTCTTGTGCACCAGACAGAGCTGAGAGCTGAGAAGCCCTTGTCTAGTCTAAGCCCTGCTCAGCAACAACTAAAAGCATCAGTTTGCTAGCAACATTCATAGAATCATAGAATCATAGAATCACTTTGGTTGGAAAAGACCTTTGAGATCATCGAGTCCAACCTTTAACCTAACCCTGCCATCCCACCACTAAACCATGTCCCTAAGCACCTCATCTATCCTTCTTTTAAATACCTCCAGGGATGGGGACTCGACCACCTCCCTGGGCAGCCCATCCCAGAGCCTGACAACCCTTTAGGTGAAGTTTTTCCTAAGGTCTAGCCTAAACCTGCCATGGCTCAGCTTCAAATCATTCCCCCTCGTCCTATCATCTGTTACCAGGGAGAAGAGACTGACCCCCACGTCACTACAGCCTCCTTTCAGGTAGTTGTAGAGGGCGATAAGGTTCCCCCTCAGCCTCCTCTTCTCCAGACTAAACAACCCCAGTTCCCTCAGCGGCTCCTCATATGACTTGTGTTCCAGACTCCTCACCAGCTTGGTTGCTCTCCTCTGGACATGTTCCAGCAATGCAACATCTTTCTTGTAGTGAGGGGCCCAAAACTGAACACAGTATTCGAGGTGCGGCCTCACCAGCACCGAGTACAGGGGCACAATCACTTCCCTACTCCTGCTGGTCACACTAGTCCTGATACAAGCCAGGATGCCATTGGCCTTCTTGGCCACCTGGGCGCACTGCTGGCTCATATTCAGTCAGCTGTCAACCGGTACCCCCAGGTCTTTTTCCACCAGGCAGCTTTCCAGCCACTCTGCCCCAAGCCGGTAGCGCTGCATGGGGTTGTTGTGACCAAAGTGCAGGACCCGGCACTTGGCCTTATTCTTCTCATCCTCAAACTAAAACAAAGTTCTGTGCCTGCTACCAAGAAGAAAATTAACTCTATCCCAGCTGAAACCAGGGCAAGTAGTAACAGCAAATATCCACTCCAGGGAAGGTTTGACTTGCCTACAACTATCCTTGTCTCTAAATTCCTCCTTTGAAGCGAGACCCTCCATCAACCTCCTCAGTGTTTTCCTGTTTCTGTGGAGCTTCCCAGTGAGTTCCTGTCATGCTGTGATGGAGGCACACTGAATATCATTGACCTGTTCCTTGACTGTATCATCAAGGGGGTGAGTGAAGGGTTGGGAGAACCAGCAGAGGTTGAAAACACAGGCCCGGGACTGGAGACCCTAGTCCAATGTGCTTCCTGTTCATGGACTGCCTACATCCACTGGATAGGGATGGAACAGACCTGCCAGGCCTCGCTGCAGCTGTGGGAGTGTTGCTCGCACGCAGACACTGGATCTTTCTGAGATGCCCTGTGGTGTCTGTTTGCTTGCACAAAAAATAAGGTCAGCTTTCCTGTTGGTCCTGTGTTGTCCCAGAAAACTCATAGGCACTTGTGCTGGAGAGCCTTGACATCTAATGTAGCTCTCACTGCTGCATGTACTTGTCCATGAAATTGAATAGCTCTAATGAAACTGTGGTGTGCATGGGAGGGAGCTGAGACTCCTTCCAGCCCCAGAACTACAATCCCTGCATGAGATTCCTCTGTTAACTCAGATGAATCCCTTCCCTCAGCACAGGTAAAGGGTGTCCCTTCCTGTCATTGTCCCAATGTCCTGTCCGATGGTGGAAAAAGAAAAAAATTATTCTTAAACCTAATGGCCTCTGAGAAAAGAAAGACATTTCTGTAAAGCAGTGTCTCTGCAGAGGTGAGAGAGGGAAGCTTAGTTATTACTTTGGTCTCTTTCCAAGTAGTTTCCTGGGGAGCCCAGGGACACCTGGAGAGAGTGCAGGGTGGGGTGGGGAGGGCAGAGAAAGTGCGGCCCTGGGCTGGTCCTCTGCTGCTGAGCTGGGCTGGGCTCCTGGGAGAAAGTGAGCTCCTGGCAAGTGGGCAGCGCTGCAGAGAGACAGCTCTGCCCAGGAGCAGCTCCTCTGCAAAGTGCAGCAGGGCTGAGGGCACTGCCTGCAGGCAGCGAGGGGAGAGAAGAGAGCCAGAGAGAGGTTGCAGGCAGCCTGGAGTGGGAGGATGCTGAGAGCTCACTGTTGGAGAAATCTTCACAGTTGGTGTGGTAAGCCCCTGGGTGCAGGGCAATGCAGCTACAGTTCCTGGATGGATCTCATAAATCTGGGATAGCCCAAAGCCTATAGTAACTGCCAGAGCGCACACACTCCTTTTATAGGAGTTGGGGTCCCTTGCTCATGCACAGATCACACTGGTGTACATGCAGTTTGTGCCATACGTGCTGTCTCCTTAGGACGCCTTCTACCTTTTTTGCTCCTTGGGCCTTGCACAGGTGCATGGTGTTGTTCGTCTGCAGACCATGAGGGCGGGATCTTCTGAGTGGTGGGAAGCAGTGGTGCAATGGCAATGTCGAGACAAACTACATTCAGTAATGGTTCTCTACAGGGAGCTCCCCAAGAGGAGCTGTGCATGGAAGGAGTGACCCCTACCAGGTCTGGACAGGGTCCTTCTGCTCTTGAGAGGGTGCTCTGTGGTTCATGGTTGGTTACAGCTCCAGATGACCCCAGGATATTTCCAAGGGGATTTTTCAAGAAGGACATCAAGGCGGGGGCTACCTCAAGGAAATTATTTTTCCAGGGTCTGTGCATTCAATTTCCTGCTGTGGTTGTGGGGGAAATGATAATGGAGCTGTCAGGTTTGCAGAAGAGATCGAGACTCCTACAGCATTACACTGAGAGATCAGTAGCTCTGAGAGGAACCTGATAAAGTCCCTTTACCCATTCCATTGCCTACAGACAGCCCCGTCAATTCTGTGGCCTCCACGGTGTTCATCTGACCGTCTCCTTAGGAATTCCCAACCCAGTGATGCTCCTGGGCAGTGCCCTGCTGCCAGGAGGGGTCTGCAGGGCAGGTGTGAGTGCACAGCAGATGGGATGGGGTCTTTGAGGAGGGAAGGAAGCATGGGGACAAGGAAAGGGCTACCAGCAGGGACAGCTCCAGGCAGCAGAGACACGGGCAGGGGGTGAGAGGAAAGCACTGACAACAAAGGCTGGGAGGACAGATCTGGGGACCTCTCTGCCATCCCATCAGTCAACATGCTTTTCCCTTAACAAGTCCCCTGGTTTCGTCTCCCACTCATCAAAGCCTCTTCCCTCAAGGCCTTGGGGTCCAGGGCAGGAGCAGCCTCCTCTGTAGGCAGACAGGAGACTCACTTTCCTGAGTGCCCATCTATCCCTCCCTGGCCTTGCCTCACTTCAGAAAAGCACTGGGGCATTTTTCCTTCTTTTTCCACCTATCCTGGCTGCTGCTGCTCTTGTTTTCAGGCTTGCTGGGGATGGGGTTTGCAGCAGCAGCTCAGCAACTGACCCTGAAGGTCCTGCCATGCAGATGGGCCCATGGGAGCAAGGTGTCCAAGCCCCCTTCAAACCTGTCGGTCTCTGGGCAATGCAGTCCCTGGGGTGGGGATAAACCTGACTTTCCGATAAGGACACCCCATCGTCAGGACATCCAGAAGTGCAGAGCTCTTCCCTGGGGAGGGGAGTGTGGAGGTCATCTCAACTTTGAAATTGGATTCCTCTGCTCTCAGCAGTATCTGATTTCCTTTCAGGGAAACATCTGAGTGAGGTCGTCCTCCAGCTCAAAGATGTGCCAGCTCAAAGAGCAGCTGGCAGCAAGGCTGATAGGCTGGGTCTCCTACCTGTGCTCTAAGGCTCTGTCCCTTTGCCTCCCAGGGCTCTCAGCATAGTCCTCATAGCCTAGCAGAAATTCCAGGGATGTCTACCTTCAAAAAACAATCTCCAGATGTGAACACGGAAACAGCAAAAAAGAAACTACTTTCCCCCCCCCCCCCATCTGTTCTGCAGACAGATGAACTGGAAGGAGCAATGCCAAAAAGCTCTCTAGCGTCAAGAGTGGGTTTAATCAGACATCACTCCTGGTTCCTATTTCCCTGTTGGTGCACAGCAGGGCTGACTCCTCCACAGAAGAATTCCCTGCTCCCCATTGCACCCCAAGCCAGCACCGACCAAAGCCAGGGATCTACACAAGGTCTTAATGGAATGACAGGCCGTGTGTGTGTGCGTGTGTGTCTGTGAGGAATAGGAGAGGTTTTGCTTAGAGAAGTCTGTCCTCACTTGTCACTGCATATTCCTCCTTAGCTAGGCCCCTGCGCCCCAAGGAATCAGATGTCCAATAGCAGCTCCACCACCAAGTTTCTCCTCCTGGCATTCACAGACACATGGGAGCTGCAGCTCTTGCACTTCGGGCTCTTTCTGGGCATCTACCTGGCTGCCCTCCTGGGCAATGGACTCATCATCACCGCTGTAGCCTGTGACCACCACCTCCACACCCCCATGTACTTCTTCCTCCTCAACCTCTCCCTTGTCGACCTGGGATCCCTCTCCACAACTGTCCCCAAATCAATGGCCAACTCCCTGTTGGATACCAGGACCATCTCTTTCTTTGGATGTGCTGCTCAAGTCTTTTGGTTTCTCTTTTTAGTTGTAGCAGAGTATTGTCTTCTCACTGTTATGTCCTATGACCGCTACATTGCCATCTGCAGACCCCTGCACTATGGAACCCTGCTGGGCAGCAGAGCCTGTGTCCACATGGCAGCAGCTGCCTGGGGCAGTGGCTTTCTCTATGCTGTCCTGCACACGGCCAATACATTTTCACTTCCCCTCTGCAGAAGCAATGCCATAGACCAGTTCTTCTGTGAAATCCCCCAGATCCTCAAGCTCTCCTGCTCAAATGCCTACCTCAGGGAAGTTCGGCTTCTTGTGGTTAGTGGCATTTTATTCTTTGGGTGTTTTGTTTTTATTGTGGTGTCTTATGTGCAGATCTTCAGGGCTGTGCTGAGGATCCCCTCTCAGCAGGGGCGACACAAAGCCTTTTCCACGTGCCTCCCACACCTTACTGTGGTCACCCTGTTTATCAGCACCTCATTTTTTGCCTACCTGAAGCCCCCTTCCATCTCCTCCCCATCCCTGGATCTGGTGATGGCAGTGCTGTACTCTGTTGTACCTCCAGCAGTGAACCCCCTCATCTACAGCATGAGGAACCAGGATCTGAAGCGTGCCTTGAGGGACCTATGTGACTTCAGCATCCATAATGTGTCCATTATTTTTATAGGACTTCGTTGTGGTTCAACCTTGCCTGGCAACTAAGCACCATGCAACCGCTTGCTCACTCCCCCCAAGTGGGATCGGGGAGAGAGTCAGACGAATAAAAGTGAGAAAGCTCGCGGGTTGAGACAAAGATAGTTTAATAGGGAAAGCAAAAGCCACGCACACAGGCAAAGCAAAGCAAGGAATTCATTCCCTGCGTCCCACAGGCAGGCCGGTGCTCAGACATCTCCAGGAAAGCAGGGCTCCATCACACGTCATGGTTACTCGGGA